AGTCCCCCGCTGGCGGCCATCTTGGATGATGGATCGGCTACAAATAACAACACTTGGTCAGCATCTCATAAGGAACATTCATGCCATGTTTGGTTTCATTCCATTCAGTGGTTCTCTAAAAGAAGACATTAGTATGCATTTCCCATAGGGTCCTATGTTAAACTAAGTCCCCCGCTGGCGGCCATCTTGGATGATGGATCGGCTACAAAGTAACAACACATGGTCAGCATCTCATAAGGAACATTCATGCCATGTTTGGTTTCATTCCATTCAGTGGTTCTCTAAAATAAGACATTTGTATGTAGTTCCCATAGGTCCTATGTTAAACTAAGTCCCCCGCTGTCGGCCATCTTGGATGATGGACCGACTGCAAAGTAACAACACTTGGTCAGCATCTCACAAGGAACATTCATGCCATGTTTGGTTCCATTCCATTCAGTGGTTCTCTAAAAGAAGACATTTTTATGTATTTCCCATAGAGTCCTATGTTAAACTAAGTCCCCCGCTGGCGGCCATCTTGGATGATGGATCGGCTACAAAGTAACAACACTTGGTCAGCACCTCATTAGGAACATTCATGTCATGTTTGGTTTCATTCCATTCAGTGGTTCTCTAAAAGAAGACATTTGTATGTATTTCCCATAGGGTCCTATGTTAAACTAAGTTCCCCGATGGCGGCCATCTTGGATGATGGATCGGCTACAAAGTAACAACACATGGTCAGCATCTCATAAGGAACATTCATGCCATGTTTGGTTTCATTCCATTCAGTGGTTCTCTAAAAGAAGTCATTTGTATGCATTTCCCATAGGGTCCTATGTTAAACTAAGTCCCCCGCTGGCGGCCATCTTGGATGGTGGATCGGCTACAAAGTAACAACACTTGGTCAGCACCTCATAAGGAACATTCATGCCATGTTTGGTTCCATTCCATTCAGTGGTTCTCTAGAAGAAGTTCAAAATGTAAAAAGTTAACGCCGACGACGGACGACGACGGACGACGCCGGACGACGACGGACGACGGACGCCAAGTGATGAGAAAAGCTCACTTGGCCCTTCGGGCCAGGTGAGCTAAAAAGGCATAAATCTGACATTTTTGGTTTCTTAGGATTTAAATTGTTTGTTATATTAAGTATAGGTTTATCAAAATGTGTATATCATTAATTCATAAAAAGGGCTGAATATTGAAAAAAAAATCAAATACTGCATTATACTGTTGTTTTAGTTGAGAACTATTTATTTGCTTACATTGGATATCTGTAGTGGACATTTATAAATTATTAATTAATGAACAATACATGTAAAAATTTGCTTTATAGAGAAGAAGTTGGTGTATATTGATGATACTGTATTATAATAAGCCAATGTAAAGTAAATTCAGTAAATTAAATGCTGAAGAAAATTGGAATTATACAGATTGTGTCTGGTTGTCATTTACATACAACCAGAACATATGGATTATTATCTTATATCTTACAGTAATGAAAATCCACTAGAATAGATATGAATGAAATTTAAATAAAATGCTCCGCTGGGCGCAGCTTGATACGACCTGCAGAGGTCGAACTCTGAACAGTTGGGGCAAGTATGGACACAACATTTAAGCTTAAAACAGCTCTGAATTTGGATTGTGATTGAATATTTGACACAGCATAGGTTTGTGACACAAAATGAATGTGGTCAAAGAACTGAAAAATTTGAAATTGGACATTTACCTATTATGGTCCAATATCCAAAATCTAAGTACATGGTTAGCATCACCATATCAAAAAACCCAAGAGTTCAATTTTTGATGAAATCAAACAAAAGTTTAAGTTAGCAACCTTTGGACCTCAATGTGGACCCATTTTATAACGGAGCCCAAAATCCAAAATCTAAATACACGCTTAGATTCAGCATTTCAAAGAACCCCATAAATTCAATTTTTGTTGAAATCAAACAAAGTTTTATTTTGGACCCTGATTTGGATCAACTTGAAAACTGGGCCCAAAAATCCAAATTTAAATACAGGTTTAGATTCAGCATTTCAAAGAACCCCATATATATTCAATTTTGTTGAAATCAAACACAGTTTAGGTTTGGACCCAGATTTGGATCAATTTGAAAACTGGGCCCAAAATCAAAAATCTAAATGCATGTTATTTTACAGACAATATAAGCTTAGTTTTTAAAGGAGTTTGCTTCATCATAAAAAAATAAATGGGGAATGTGTCCATGGGACACAGATGATGCCCCTGCTTGCATATAACGTTATAAAGGGACATAACTCAAGAACAGTAAAAGTGACGCTACCCAAATTTGTAAGTGATCTGAGTTTTGTGGTAATAACCATTGTGTATAAGTTTCATAACATTTGGTTATGGCAAATTAAAGTTAGAGAACGGAAACGAAAAATTCAGCAATTTTTCCATTTGTAAAGGGGCATTACTCTAGAATGGTAAAAGTGACGCCACCAACATTCAAACTTGATCTGTGTTTTGTGGTAATAAGCATTGTGTTAAAGTTTCATAATATTTGGTTGAGGCAAACTCAAGTTAGAGAACAGAAACGCTGAATTTTTTCATTTGTAAAGGGGCATAACTCTAGAACGGTAAAAGTGACGCCACCCAAATTCAAACTTGATCTGTGTTTTGTGGTAATCAGCATTGTGTATAAGTTTCATAGTATTTGGTTGAGGCAAACTAAAGTTAGAGAACGGAAACCAATTTTGGGACGTACATACGTACAGACGGACAAGGGCAAAACTTAATGCCCCCTCCGCTACAGCGGGGGCATAAAAATATATATAGCATTCAGAAAATTAGTTTATACAGAATAACAAACAAACCTACCACAAAATTCTTCAAACAATTTACCAAAGAAAAGAAAAAAATAATTTCCAAAATATCATTTATCATTAATACAATGTCTTTGAAAAATCTATAAAACTTATCTGTAATTATCTTCAAAATATCTAATAATGAACAGTAAATTTCAAACTATATTTATACCGTCCTACAGAGCTTATCATCAACAACACTTAGGAAACACAAAATTTTCAAATAAATCTGTCACTTCTATTATAATTGTGTAAATGATTTTACGATCATTTCTTATCATTAATGTAGATTTTCTTTTCAGTCTGGGCATGGTATTTCACACGGTGCTTTGCTTTTGCGCCAATTGGCATTTCATTTATTTCATTTGCGCCAAAATAAAACATTTCATTTGCGCCAATAATACAGGTAAATACAGGTAAATAGTATAAAAAATAGTTTTATTCAAAAGAGACTTTTAATAATAACTTTAAAACACCGTTTTTGATTGCATAATAAAACATATTCCTCCAAAATCAGTCATTGTAACCATAATGACAGCACTATACACTGATACGTTCTTAATAAGGGACTTTTCATAATAATGTTAAAACACAGTTCTGTTATAAATTAACGTGATCATAAAACGTAAAAGAAAGCACTATACACTGGAGTAGAACCAAAAGTTTGTTCTGACACAAGACTTGTAAGCAACGACTGGGATGTACTCATATACACTGGATAACCTATATGTGTGGTCATAAAAAATTACAGACTTATTTCCTCTATATGAAAATAAGGAGATGTGGTAAGATTGCCAATGAGACAACTATCCACCAAAGTTCAAATGGAGTGGATAAAAGCAATTATAGGCAACCGTACGGCCTTCAAAAATGAGAATAAAAACTCATACCATATAGTCTTCTATAAACGGCCCAGACATGAAAAATATGAAACAATCCAATTCTGAGAAAACTAACGGCCTGTTTGTCTCATAATTGATAATGTCCATCTTGACACCTCAAACATGTGAACACTATATAATTTTAAACCTAAGTGACTCTCAGTTTTATATTAGAAATGAGTATGAACTTACTTAGTTACCCAGGGGGAATACTCTTAAAAAATTCTTATTCACGATGTAGCAATGAATATTTTAAACCTTTCCGTTATATGTTACCTGTAAAATGGCGCAAAAGTAGTTTTTATTTTTTGGCTCAAATGAAATATAACCTTGTGGCGCAAATGAAAGACTGGATTTTGTAAAAATTAGCGCAAATGCAATGCGCCAATTTCACAGTTATCATACTGGAAAACAAACAACAACAAAAATTAAAAAAGGCAAATAAATTTAAGATCCTATAAAAACACTTAGTGTAATCAAACTTTATATATATAATTAATAGTTCCCAATATTTTTTCTTTCATTTGTCACAAACTAATATCTGAAGGGCTCACGCTACCATGCGATTTGGGCGACAAAGTCCTTTTCCCGTCAGTCACTTTGCTTCGCCCGACCGTCAAAAGCGAAAATCTAGTCGCCCTGTTGTTCACAATACTCGCTTTCAGTCACTTTCGTCATCGGCAATATTCAATTTTTACCAAGTCGATGAAACAGCAATTTTTCATTTAAAAGTAAAGAAATTCAAAGACATAAGCAATTAATTTTCTTCAGAAAAGAGGTTAAAGTATGGATTTTAAAGTTGGTTGCATGTTATTTCATAAAGACAATTTTTTATCACTTCCGGTACTTGTTACTCGAGAGTGTAAATTCAAATCATTCAAACTTTCGGCAAAATAAGTTTGTTTCTTCATTAGAATGTGATGAAATTTGACTGAAGTAAATTTGTTATCCATGTTTTGCATTAAAAACGTCCTATTCCTTTCCAAATAGCGTGTCAAACATCGTTTATTTTTGTAAGTTTTCTTCGTCCGCCATTGAAATATTGTACGAACTACTGATCGAAGTCGGAACCAGACCAGCTATGACCGAAATCTGGATTCTCACGATAATGACTACAGACGCATGAATGGCACAGCTGACAGAAGAATATTGATCCCAAAAGGAATAAAATGCTCCGCTGGGGCGCAGCTTGATAAGACCGCAGAGGTCAAACCCTGAACAGTTGGGGCAAGTATGGACACAACATTCAAGCTTGATACAGCACTGAATTTGGATTGTAATTAAATATTTGACACAGCATAGGTTTCTGACACAGAATGAATGTGGTCTAAGAACTTAAAATTTTTAAATTGGACATTCACCTATTATGGTCCAATATCCTATTACCTATTCAAACCATATCATTATTATTTGCTTTTATATATAAATCAGAAATAACCAATTTAAAATGGAAAATTTTAATGAAAAAAAAGGAAAAAAAATTCTCCCCCAAATTTTTTGAACCCCCTTATGATTCATCACCCCAAAACTCAATCCTAGCCTTCCCTTTGTGGTATGGTACCTTGCATTACAATTTCAGAGAGATCCATACACTTGAACACAAGTTATTGTCTGGAAACTAGAAAAAATGCTTTTTTTTTGGCCCCTTTTTGGCCCCAAATTCCTAAACATTTAGAGCAATTACCCCCAAACTCAAACCCAGCTTTCCCTTTGTGATATGGAACCTTGTAGTACATTTTCATAAAGATCCATACACTTACACACAAGTTATTGTCCTGAAACTAGAAAAATGCTTGTTTTTGGCCCCTAATTCCTAAAATTTTGAGGCAATTACCCCCAAAACCAATCCCAGCCTTCCCTTTGTGGTATGGTACCTTGCAGTACAATTTCAGAGAGATCCATACATTTGAACACAAGTTATTGTCTGGAACCTAGAAAAATGCTTATTTTTTGCCCCTTTTTGGCCCCTTATTCCTAAACTTTTTGGGCAATTACCCCCAAACTCAATTCCAGCTTTCCCTTTGTGATATGGAACCTTGTAGTACAATTTCAGAAAGATCCATACACTTACACACAAGTTATTGTCATGAAACTAGAAAAATGCTTGTTTTTAGCCCCTTTTTGGCCCCTAATCCCTAAAATTTGGAGGCAATTACCCCCAAAATCAATCCCAGCATTCCCTTTGTGATATGGAACCTTGTGATACAATGTCAGAGAGATCCATACACTTACACACAAGTTATTGTCATGAAACTAGAAAAATGCTTGTTTTTTGCCCCTTTCTGGCCCCCAATTCCTAAAATTTGGAGGCAATTACCCCCAAAATCAATCCCAGCATTCCCTTTGTGATATGGAACATTGTGGTACAATGTCAGAGAGATCCATACACTTACACACAAATTATGTCTGGAAGTTACAATAAAATGCTCCGCAGGGCGCAGCTTGATACGACCGCAGAGGTCGAACCCTGAACAGTTGGGGCAAGTATGGACACAACATTCAAGCTTGATACAGCTCTGAATTTGGATTGTGATTAAATATTTGACACAGCATAGGTTTCTGACACAGAATGAATGTGGTCTAAGAACTTAAAAATTTTAAATTGGACATTCACCTATTATGGTCCAATATCCAAAATCTAAATACATGGTTAGATTCAGCATATCAAAAAACCCCAATAATTCAATTTTTGATGAAATCAAACAAAGTTTAATTTTGGACCCTTTTGACCTCAATGTGGACAAAGTTGATAACTGGGCCCAAAAATCAAAAATCTAAATACATGATTAGATTCAGCATATCAAAGAACCCCATATATTCAATTTTTGTTGAAATCAAACAAAGTTTAATTTTGGACCCCGATTTGGACCAACTTGAAAACTGGGCCCATAATCAAAAATCTCTAAATACATGTTTAGATTCAGCATATCAAAGAACCCTAAGAATTCAATTTTTGTTAAAATCAAACTTAGTTTAATTTTGGACCTTTTGGACCTTAATGTAGACCAATTTGAAAACAGAACCAAAAATTAAGAATCTAAATACTCGGTTAGATTTGGCATATCAAAGAACCCCAATAATTCAATTTTTGATGAAATCAAACAAAGTTTAATTTTGGACCCTTTGGACCTCAATGTGGACCAATTTAAAAACAGGGCCCAAAATCCAAAAACTTAATACACGGTTAGATTCAGCATATTAAAGAACCCCAAGAATTCAAGAATAAAACCCCATTGAAAATGGTCAAGAAATAAGCAATTTATACGAAGTATCTTCTTTTGCACAATACTGTGCAATTGAATATTTCTTGCTATTGCGCAACACTGCACAATCGACAATTTCTTGCTATTGCGCAATATTGTGCTATTGGATATTTCTTGCTATTGCGCAATACTATGCAATTGAAGATTTCTTGCTATTGCCCAATACTGTGCAATTGAAGATTTCTTGCTATTGTGCAATACTATGCAATTGAAAATTTCTTGCTATTGCACAATACTTATTATATAATAATTTACACATCCTGTTTGGTGTGTATCTCCTACCATATCATTATTATTTGCTTTTAAATATAAATCAGAAATAACCAACTTAAAATGGAAAATTTTAAAAGAAAAAAAAAATTAAAAAAAGAAAACAAAGGAAAAAAAAAAAAAATCCCCCCCCCCCCCCCAATTTTTTGAACCCCCTTATGATTCATCACCCCAAAACTCAATCCCAGCCTTCCCTTTGTGGTATGGTACCTTGCAGTACAATTTCAGAGAGATCCATACACTTGAACACAAGTTATTGTCTGGAAACTAGAAAAATGTGTTTTTTGGCCCCTTTTTGGCCCCCAATTCCTAAACGTTTCGGGCAATTACCCCCAAACTCAATTCCAGCTTTCCCTTTGTGATATGGAACCTTGTAGTACAATTTCAGAAATATCCAAACACTTACACACAAGTAATTGTCATGAAACTAGAAAAATGCTTGTTTTTTGCCCCTTTTATGGCCCCTAATTCCTAAAATTTTGAGGCAATTACCCCCAAAATCAATCCCAGCATTCCCTGTGTGATATGGAACCTTGTGGTACAATTTCATAAAGATCCATACACTTGAACACAAGTTATTGTCTGGAAACTAGAAAAACGCTTATTTTTGGCCCCTTTTTGGCCCCTTATTCCTAAACGTTTCAGGCAATTACCCCCAAACTCAATTCCAGCTTCCCTTTGTGATATGAAACCTTGTAGTACAATTTCAGAAAGATCCATACACTTACACACAAGTTATTGTCATGAAACTAGAAAAATGCTTGTTTTTTGCCCCTTTTTTGGCCCCTAATTCCTAATATTTTGAGGCAATTACCCCATAAATCAATCCCAGCATTCCCTTTGTGATATGGAACCTTGTGGTGCAATGTCAGAGAGATCCATACACTAACACACAAGTTATGTCTGGAAGTTACAAAAATGCTTATTTTTGGCCGCTTTTTGGCCCCTAATTCCTTAACTGTTGGTACCATAACCCCCAAAATCAATCCCAACCTTCCTTTCGTGGTATTGAACCTCATGGTAAAATTTCATAGAGATCCATTCACTTAAACTAAAGTTAGAGTGCGAAAACCAATGTGTCCTAGGACGGCGCCGGACGACGACGACAACGCCAACGTCATACCAATATATAATAAAATGCTTCGCTGGGGCGCAGCTTGATACGACCGCAGAGGTCGAACCCTGAACAGTTGGGGCAAGTATGGACACAAAATTCAAGCTTGATACAGCTATGACTTTGGATTGTCATTAAATATTTGACACAGCATAGGTTTCTGACACAGGATGAATGTGGTGTAAGAACTGGAAAAAAATTAATTTACCTATTATGGTGGAATATCCATAAACTAAATTGTTTGTTAATTTCAATATATCAAAGAATATGTAGAATTCAATGTTTGATGTAATGTAATAAAGTTGAAATTTGGACCGTTTTTGTTCAATGTGGACCAATTTGGTAACATGTATAAATAATCAAAAATCTAAATACATGGGAGCCCATTTAAATACATCATAAAGGTATTAAAATAGAAAGTGACAACATAGTCATGGCTAAAAATAAACAAAAATCCTTAATCAGCAACATTTAAAGTAATATCTAAAAATAAAATTCCTTTGTAACCAAAGCCCATTTAAATACATCATAACAGATATTAAAATAGAAAATGACATCAGAGTCATGGCTAAACATAGCAAAAAACCCTTAATCAGCATCATTTAACAGTAATATCTAAAAATGGAAATTACATCATAAAGGTATTAAAATAGAAAATGACATCATAGTCATGGCTAAAAATAAACAAAATCCTTAATCAGCATCAGCAACATTTTATAGTAATATCTAAAAATAAAATTCCTTTGTAACCATAAAAGCCCATTTAAATACATCATAACAGATATTAAAATAGAAAATGACATCATAGTCATGGCTAAACATAGCAAAAACCTTAATCAGCATCATTTAACAGTAATATCTAAAAATAAAAATTTCTTTGCAACCATAAAAGTAAAATAGAAAATGACATCATAATCATAGCTAAAAATAAACAAAAATTTTTTTTATTGGCAAATTTTAAATGGAGTTTATTATACTAAAACAATAAATTTGCAACCATAAACATGATAAAACCCCATTTAAACACATCATAAAAGTATTAAATAATTCAACTACATCATAAGGCTATAAAAATAGAAAATGACTTCATAGTCAAGGCTAAAGGTAAACAAAAAACCTTCATCAGCAAAATTTTATATTGGCAAATTTCCAATGAAGTTTATTACACTAAAATTGTTGGCAAATTTCCAATGCATTTATTAACAATAAAGTTATTGGCAAATTTCCAATTTACATAATTTAAAAGCAGTGTAGAGATATTTAAATGAGTTTGAATTACCAACCTTACACTGCTTTTAAATAATGTTCTTTACTCAATTATTTGTCTATTAAAATGGAAACCCTTGTTTTTTAACCTTTTTTCCCCTTATTCCTTAAACATTAGAGCCATAAACCCCCCCCCCCCCCCCCCCCCCCCCCCCCACCAAGCCAATTATTACTTTCCAATGTAACTTAAATTTCCAATATAAATAATTTTAAATTTCAATTCCTCATGATATATAACCGTATCATTATTATTTTCTTTCATATATAAATCTGAAACAACCATCTTTAAATGGAAAATTTTAAAGAAAAAAAAAGGAAAAAAAAAAATCCTACCTCCCACACATTTTTTCAACCCCCTTTTGATTCATCATCCCCCACCTCAATTTGTGGTATGGTACATTGCAATACAATTTCACAGAGATCCATACACTTGAACACAAGTTTTTGTTGCAAACTAAAAAAATCCTTATTTTTGACCAATATTTGGCCCCTTATTCATAAATGTTTGAGCAATTAACCCCAAAACTCAATTCCTACTTTCTCTTCGTGATAAAAAATAACTAACTTAAAATGTAAATTTTAAACAAAAAAAAAAGGAAAAAAAAAAATTACCCCTTTTTTGACCCCCGCCCCCTTATGATTCATCACCCCCACCCCCCTTTCCCCCCAAACCAAGCTCAATAACAGCCTTGCCTTTGTGGTATGGTACCTTGTAATACAATTTTAGAGAGATCCATACACTTGAACACAAGTTATTGTCTAGAAACTAAAAAATGCTTATTTTAAACCCCTTTTTAGGCCCCTTATTACTAAACGTTTTGGGCAATTACCACAACACTCAATTCCAGCTTTCCCTTTGTGAAATGGAACCTTGTAGTAAAATTTCAGAAAGATCCATACACTTACACACAAGTTATTGTCATGAAACTAGAAAAATGCTTGTTTTTTGCCCCCTTTTGGCCCCTTATTCCTAAAATTTTGAGGCAATTAACCCCAAAATCAATCCCAGCATTGACCCTTTGTGATATGGAATCTTGTGGTACAATGTCAAAGAGATCCATATGCTAACACACAAGTTATGTCTGGAAGTTACAAAAATGCTTATTTTCGGCCCCTTTTTGGCCCCTAATTCCTTAACTGTTGGTACCATAACCCCCAAAATCAATCCCCACCTTCCTATTGTGGTATTGAACCTTATGGTAAAATTTCATAGAGATCCATTCACTTAAACTAAAGTTAGAGTGCGAAAACCATTGTGTATTCGGACGACAACGCCGAACGACGACGACGACGACGACAACGACGCCAATGTCATACCAATATACGACCTCAAAATTTTTTTGCGGTCGTATAAAAATGCTTATTTTTGGCCCCTTATTCCATAACTGTGGGTACCATAACCCCCAAAATCAATCCCCATCTTCCTTTTGTGGTATTGAACCATATGGTAAAATTTCATTGAGATCCCTTCACTTAAACTAAAGGTAGAGTGCGAAAACAAATGTTTAACACAAGTTATTGTCATGAAACCATGCCGGACGACGACGACGATGACAACGACGACACCAACGTCATACCAATATAGGACCACAAAAATTTTTTTGCGGTCATATAAAAACACACTATAAAATATCAATTGGAAGGCTTAACTCAATCAAAAAACGTAAATTAACACACAATGAACGAATAAATTTGACCTGTGACACCTGAATGCAAATACACAGTTAATAAAAAATTACAAGGGATTAATAATTAAAGTCAAAAGTAAATGAACAGGTTTAAACAAAGTTAAAGTATGATATTACTGTGAAATTTCAAACAATTTACAGAAAATCATCACTTTTGAAGAAACCTGCGTCATATTATACACAGGTAAATGAAAATAATTTTGTTGTTAAGTATACTTCTTCTCCTGTGTGTATAAAATCTTCCGTTTAGGAATACCAAGAAATTTCTTTACTATCAATAAAACTAATCTAACACTTGGTACATATGGGGTGAATATCAACAATAAAAATATACAATTAGTGCTAAATAAAACTTCCAAGGTCCAAGAACAGCATCTAAGGAAAAATGAAATA